GGGAGAGGTCATCTCTTGTCAGGCAGTGTTTGATCATTATGGGCTGAGAGGTTAAGTGTAAGACCATTGAGGGTAATACCTGATGGGCTAATCTTGCATCTGTCCACAGTCCTTGGGTTTTTATAAGGTGGCTTGACCCAAGGACCACTTAGTGTAAGTGTTGGGCCCATTAAGAGCCCATGGTGATGGGTTCAGGGGTTCACTGTCCCTTACATTGAATTCGGCCAGGCCTTGTAACAGAGGCTAGACTAAACCCATGTGGCTGATGTGTAGATCAATGTTTGGGTCCCACGCCATACAAGGATACCCAATTGGGAAGCAGTTTGGAGGCTGAATGAGCACATGGACTTAATGGGCCTAAAGCCCAATTCGAATTGGTTTAATTTGACTAATTAAAGAGGGGCGGTTCTGGGATTTAGATCAGCAGATAGGATAGGGAGTTATCCCTATCCACTCAGAGAGTCCAAATCCAAATAGAGATTTGGATCAGAAAACTCCTAATGAGATTAGGAGGGTTGATCTTGATCTACAGATAAGATAAGGGATTATCCTTATTTCTTAAAGAAAGTCGAGATCCAAATACAAGATTTGGATTAGGAAACTCCTAATAGGATTAGAAGGAGCTCTCTTTAAGGCTATAAAAGGAGGAGGAGGGCGAACCCCAGTTCACTCAATTCTGATTTGAGATACAAGAGAGAAGACAGCCCCAGTGAGACTGATGCCATCTTTTGCTCTTGCCTTCTCTTCCTATTGTCGCCATTGCCAGTTCGTTCTCCACCTGTAGGAGCGATCAAGAAGCGTTCTTGATATCAGTTTTTGGTGAATAACTGATCTGAAGTCATGCTCACTCACCCTCCATCGAATTCTTGCTGAAGAGTTTGGTTCTTGTTGAAGAACCAACTGCTGATTCTGCTCCACCCTACGCTGTGTCATCTTCAGTGGGAGCAGTCTTTGGCGTTTTCCTTGGGCGTGAACACCTTCGTTGGGAGTTACTATTACTCCGTATCAGGTATATCCCTCTCCTACCTTTTGGTTTCAGATCTGGTTCGGTTTAGGTTCAAGATTGATCCTTGAAAATGCAGATTTTCTAAAAAAAGGAATGTGATTCCCACATGGGAGAGAGATAAATTTTTTGAAATTTCGCCCTACCTACCTGCAGGGTTCGGCTATCCATATGATGAATCTCTCATCCCTTCACTTATAAGACTTCAAATCCAGAAACACACAATACATAGGGTAAAAGGCTACATAACAATTTAATGACTTGGCCAAACTACTAATAGAAAGGAGGTTTGTATTCAATTTAGGGACATGAGGGATAGAGAGAAAAGTAAGGGTCTTAGTGGCTCTAATATCTCTCTTTCCTGTTTCCTATAATGGGAGCAATAGAACCATTTACAAGTGATATTCTATCACAACCAGGGAGAATCTGATAGGTAGTAAAGAGGTTAAAAATGCTAGTTCTATGATAAAAAAAAAAAAAAAAAAAAAAAAACAGAATAAAAATCTAAAGGACTACTATGCAACCTGAGATGGTTGCATAGTTAGCAAAAGCACTAAAACCTGAGTGGGAAAAGGCAGTAGATGCAAGATTTCCTATGGGTGCTGAATTAGATGCAACTATAGTCTCTATGTGATTGAGAAGTCTACCATACTTCTCAAACTCTACCTTGATTGCCACCAACTGCTCCATAGTAGACTTATCTTCTGTAGACCCCTTATCATCCTCTAGAATTGTAGCCACATTTGCATTTCCACTCTTCTTATTGTTCTTAAATCAAAAAGGCTTGAATTGAGGGTATAATTTCTAGCATGTTTCCCTAGTGCACTTAGGTTCTTATAAAAATAACAAATCACTTCTTTCCTGTCCTCACTCCCTCTTAACCTTACTTCAACATGAGCATAATGACCTGTAGTTGCATTTTGAAGATGTACCTTCCTTTTGCTCTCCTCATTACCATAAAGTATGCCTGAGACAAGGTAACTTCATCATTAACAAATATATTCTGTCAAATAATATCATATTCTAGGTTAAACCCAATTAAGAACTCAAAAGACTTTGTCTCTAAAAGCTTCTTGTATGTCTCTGCATCTTTGTTACTCGCCCAAACAACTATCTCCAGTAAATTAATATCCTACCTTTGAGATTTCAGCATAGAGTAGTGTCGACACAAATTTCGTGTATTTGATTAACACAAAATATTGAGACAAATTACAAAAATGAATTTGTAATAAAAAAAATACAAACAAGGGAATTAGCTCTCTTTGATTTCTACTCGATGATGTGAGCAACCTCTGATTAACGGTCAAATTCGGTGAAGACGAGGGCCGTTGGCATGTTTCTCATACTTCTTGAAGTGTTGATGTAGATTCCTTGATTTTGGTGCTCTGGGAGATTTGATACAGATTTCTTCACTCTGGGCTTCGCGCTTGATCGGCTATGAATGATGCTTCTCTAAGAAGGGCCCTTTAGTGGTGGCTTGATCTTCTTGGGAGAGCTTGAATCCAAGTGTGTTGTTGAGAATGAAGAAGCTTTTCTCTTCTTTCTTCTCTCTTGATCTTACAGTTGTAGGAGATTGCAGGAGCTTGTGGTTGCTTGCAATCCTCAAGTGTTGGTGTGTGAGAGATTCTTGCAATGTGATTGTTGAAAGAAAAAGGGAGCCCTTTCTTCCTAGGCAAGGCTATTTATAGCCAAGGATTAAGGCTGCCACCTCAGCCCACTTAGCTAACCAATCCCATGAGAGCGGGGTGTTGGGTTAGGGTTAACTCCCATGCATGCACCATTATGTAGGAGTTAGTGGTCTTGCCAATGGGACCACCCAATTAAAATAGGACATGGATCATACTGGACTTAGTACACTTGGATCCTTGGGCCACTAAGTCATACTTATGTAGACTAGGGCATTGGGCCCATGGAGGCCCATATTAATTTAGAGGCTATCATGTAAATTAAGCCCATTTATTTGGCTTTGAATATTCACATGTCTACAAGTAGTATGGACCCAGTGATTTCTCTCCTGATTGAAGATTTATGACCTCATTCTTCAACTTACAGCTCTAACCACATTCATTTTCCAAGAGTATGCTTCCACTACACTATCCCACACTTCTTTAGCATAATCCATCCATAAGTAGAGTTTACTAATGTGTGGTAGCATAAAATTCATAAGCCATCCAATCACAGTGTAATTCTCTTGCATCCACTTCTCATAGGTAGGATTGGTCTTTTTAGGTTTCTTGGTACAGCTTGTCAAATACCCCAACTTCCCTCTACTATAGACATTGATGCGTACAAAATGAGGTCATTCAAGATAATTTGTACCATCTTGTCAAATACCCCAAACTCTGTAACTGCTTCAGGTCAGCTCCTGATGCTCCGCCGATCCAACCCTTCAATAAGGATGTAACTGTAAACAGAAATAGGGTATAACAAACCCAAAACAAATGACCTTCAGTCAACAAAGTATAGAAAACTAGAGTTTTACCAACCCTGCAACTTGGGAGAAAAGGGAAAACTTGCAGCCACTCCTACCAGGTTCTCCATAACTCTTTCCAATGCAAGTCAATCTCAAAGAGGCTTTAAACAGGACTTCTTAAACTAGCTTGAAATAACCCCTTGACACTTAATCAAGGTCTTCACTCTCTAGCTAGCCTAGGTTTTGGGCAGGAAAACTTCACAGGACTTCTTAAGCTTCCAAAGTCTAGTCTACAATCTCCAGAACCTCGTTCCAACTAAGTGGCAACTAACAGGTGTGATCAGCAATCTTTCCATACGCTGCTGATAAAAGGTGTATGGAATCAAGGAGAGAAAAGAGAAGAAAGGACCTGCTCTAATACCTAGTAGTGAAAAAGGTCTGAAAAATAATAAGATTAACTAAGATTTGGTGGCAGAAAATAAGAGAGAAAAGTTCAGATTAGTAGTATTCTTGGTTGCATACCCAATCGTTAACTATTTCTAAAAGCTAATTCTAGCTTCTAAAAACTTCAAAAACATCAATTAATTAACTTTTCACAATTCCCCTTGGTAATTTTCATGAACTAGAAAGAAATGAAGGTTATGAACTTAGAAAATCTGGTTACACATACATTGTGGATGTTATTATGCTTGGAAGTACTTACTTCCTTTCCTAAGCCATGTAAAAGTGGAAGTGTTATTTATTTTATTTTATTTTTTTTATCAATAAGTAGAAGTGTTATTAATAGAACTATATCAATGTAGCAGTAATAACCCATATGTCAACCAAGAATGCAATGATTTGAAACTTACTGAAACGCTCAATTTGCTGTTGAGAAGTCATAACACCGGGAGGGAGAAGACCACGAAGATCAAGGCGGTCTCGTTCTGTCATGGAGAATGCTGTTCCCTGTTTTTTTTTCGGATAAGAAGGTCAGAATTCATTTCTATAATTTAATAAGGAAAAGAAAAAAGAAACATTACTGAATACTGATCAAACAACTAGTGCACCAAGGTCACCCATAAGATGATATGATAAGTGAACACATAATGGTAACAGATTTCCCGAAGGCATTGGGTTACCCAATTGGCAAATTCGCAATTCACCAGGAAATTCAGGACAGAACCACCAAATGTAAAAATTCTAAAACGAAACTCAAGTTCTGAACCACATAAAAGCATCTAATCAACTACATGTAATCTCTTCAGTTTGGTCCATTATGTTCATATTCATCTCTTATTTTTTCATTTTCCCAAAGTTGAAGATCAAACATAGCTCGTCAAAAACAATCCGCACTTAGAATGTGAAAACAAAACCAATCAACAATTACAAAAGTACAATCTTCTAAACAAAAGCTATCTTCATAACCAGGACTTCAGTTCGACAAAGCAATGGACACATTAAAATTCAAACAACCAAAGAACAACTAGAGACTTACCTTATTGAACCAGGGATCATGGAGTATATCAAGGCTGCGTTTTTGGACGATAGTGGGACGAGAACCTTCAGTAGTCGTGAACGATCTCCTCTCCATCATCATCATCGTCATTGTTGTCATTTTCTGCTTGAATCGTTTGATCAGGGACGAAGAGAGCCTGAGCTGAGAAGAGAAATTAGACATTTTTTCAAGCTACCAAAGGCTCTACGATTGCGTTACAGAGAGAAGAAGAGGAGATGGAGAGAGGACTGAGCAACTGAGCCTAACTCTTTACTTTTTTCTCGAATCCCACCTTCGCGACTTCGCGTCGGAGAAGGCCTAATAACTGGGAGATACAAGTCGATTTTTTTTATTTTGTTAATTTATTTTTTTTCTGAAGATATCTACGGACCCAGATCTTAAGGGTTAGAACTTTAGAAGTTAGAAGCCGTTAAAATCATACTCTCGCGAGTAGAATTAGAGATCTATTCTCGCCAATGCTTTTTCAAGTGTTCATGTTGTCAACCTCTTAACTCTTACTCGCCACGAGAGTTTTAACTTTCAACCTGGTCTGACTGGTGTCACTGGTCTGGTATGTGTCGGAGCTTGGCAATCCTCGATGCGGGGAATCTTTTAAGTTGGGCTTATTCAATAATGGGCCCAAAGTTTCTTTACATAGGATTGTAGAATCCCAACCAGGCAACCATTAAAGTTTACAAAGGGACGTTTTTTTTTAGAGGGGAAAGATAAAAAAAAACATATTATTTTATTAGATTTATGTGCGGAAGAGGGAAAGTTTATTTTCATGATTAAAGGGGCTTTCTTTTTCTGGATTTTGAGAGGGGGAAGTTGGTCAATGGGGTTTTGATTCCCACATATTAAGAATTTCATGTTCTTTTTTAGATTTATGTGGGAATCAGGGAAAGTTTATTTTCTTAGGTATCACTTACCTTAGGTGGGTAAATAACTTTTCCACTTTGGGGGAATGGGACAAAAATGACCCTTGTAATAATGGATTTTTATGGCTAAAATAGTTATTGTCCTGTTTGCATGGAAAATAAAAGAACGTGGGTAAATGCACTTACTTGGGTAAGTCTTTCCTTACCCAAATAAGTGCATTTATTACCCAAGTAAGTGCATTTACTTGGATAAGTAACTACCAAAAAGCAAACAAGGCCTAAGTGATATCTATCTCCTAGGTGGGTAAATAATGTTTCCATATGAGGGAAAGTTGTCAACACTTGAACGGGGTTATAATGCCCCTTTTAATAATTGATTTTTATTGCTAAAATGATCGTCATTGCTTTATTTACATGAAAAATAAAAGAATATGGGTAAATGCACTTACCTGGGTAAGTCTTTCTGTGCATTTACCCAAGTAAGTAATTTACCGGAAAGCGAATGGGGCCTTAGTGGTAACTGATAGGTAGCAACTAGTAATTTTCTAGGCTAGACTTTCCTTGAATGGTCTGAGCATGGCGTTTAAAGACTGATATAGTCATAGAGTCCCTGCCTAGCCACCAAGCTTGACATAAAAGCCCAACTCGACCATAAGGTTGGGCCACCATATCTAAAAGTCATGCATCAAGCTTTCTTACATTGATAAAACCTTATATCTATTTATATATATCTATATCTATACTATTTATAAAAGTGTGAATATGTTTTTGCTTCTGGAATTTTCATTGGACAACAAATGCCCCCTCTTTAAAGTTTGAATTGAAAAATAAGCAAAGGCAAAATTGTTATTTTACATTTTTGTTCAATAATTGTAAAACGAGACATAGCAAAAATGTCATTTTACATTTTTCATTTAATGCTACTATTAAAAGTATGAATAATGGTGTGGAACTTTTATTTGACTAAATCATCCCAATTTTTGAATTTGATCTTTGTCTAATTTTATAGACGGTAATGTAATTTGAAAAATCACTTTTCTACTCATTCAAATCCATCTCATTAAGTCTCATGTTTAAAGTATTAACTCCCATTTACATTCATTGAATCCTTTTCTAAACTAGAATGCCCTTACTTTTTTGAATTTAGTCCCTCTCTAATTGCAAGGGCAAAAAGTATAATTTGACCTACTGCATTTCGCCTCACATGTAATAATACAAACTTTTGTAAATAACATTTTGCACACCTATGTAATATTTTATACTAATCATATTAAAGAAAAAAGTGTGATAAATAATAATTGCTTTGTTGATGCTAGGACTAAACTATAAAATCTAAAACCAACACAAAAATTAAATTGTTTTCCTGTGGTGGGTCAACAGTTCAACCTTTTGGGTTATATGTGTCAACCATTTATTTTATAATTAAATAATAAAAATTAAAACAAAAGATAAAAATACAAAGTATATGGAAAAATATATTTTTTTTTGTAAAAACATTTGGAAACATCTCTAATATTTTATTGTTTTTAAGATTCTATTGATGATATAAATAAAATACATAATTCAAAATTAACCCAAAAATGAATTTTTTTTCCAATTTGGTGGTAGATCAATTCAACATTTTAAGTTGAATGTGTTAACTCGTGAAGTTATAATTAAATAATAAAATTTTAAAAAAAATAAAGACAAAAATATACAAATAATATATAAATTCTGTAGAAAACATTTGGGCATATCTCTATGTTAATGAATTATTATAAGTGTGACAAATAAGAACAATAAAGACATGTAAAAAATTGTAACAAATTTTGAAAACATATTATGTATTATCATCATCATCACAAAATTTATCACGTACAAAACACATACAGACATACTAATATAATAGATAGAGCACTACAAGGTTCAAAATATTGATACAGAGCAATACACCGGTAAGGTGTATTGGCCTGTATTGGTATTATTTTTTATGTTTTTTTATTTTTTTCGAAATTGGTTCAGAGGGGTTGGTTTAAATCCAATCTACCCCCTGAACCACTCGCCGATCCGAAACACCCTATGTAGGAGTGTATTGAAAAGACTCTGATATGGAACAATACGGGCTAATACGTGACGAAATTTTAATCCTTGAAGCACTATATATAAAACCTCTGCCTTAGAATGGGCCTTTCCCTGTTCGAACATGAACAGTTGTCCTACAGCTGAAGTTTCAGAAGGCTCATTCGGGCCTTGATACAAAACTCTGGTCTAAGCCCAGATTTAACTCTAAACTAAGCTTGTCAGGCCGGGCAGGAAGAGCCGTATCTCTTGCCACCATTTGTAATGAGAGCATCTCATCTTACAACCAGGGTTGACCATTTCTGCCTGGGCCCTATACTGCCCACTCGGGCCTTCCTGGAAATTTCCTGGGCCAGGCAGATTTTTTTTCTTCTAGACCCGGACCTGCACATAAGTTGCTTCATTTTCATTTTTCACCGTCATCACATAAGAAAAGAAAGAAAAAACGAAAGAAAATCAACCTACAAGGCCTACCACACTCCTGACCAGAAGTTTTCAAATCAACCACAACATAACTATAGTTGTAGTTGGGCCATTAAAAGGGAAGCTATTACTCCAGGGAAGTTTCCACGTGGCAGTATAATATGGGCCCCACATATACCTCTTACAGCCATTATCAATGAAAGAAGGTTCAGCCCAATAGCCTATCATTGGTACTAGATGACGACTTCGAATATTCTCTGGTTCTATTGGACAAAATTACATCGCCGAGCCATTTACCTCTGACCATGTCCCTGGGCCGTGCCGCCCTCCCCTGCGATAATTTGGCGGTTGGTTCGGCATGGCCCCGGCCCATGCTTGTGCTGTGTCATGTTATGGATCGGGTTGGTCCGTGGGTTAAAGCTTGAGTCAGGCCGGGTTATATATCGGGCCAAAGCTATTTATTTAAAAAATTGATAAAAAATTAAAATTCTGATGTATATAATTCCTTATATATACAATAACTAAATAAATTAGTATAATAAAATTAAAAAAATATATATTTATTTTATTAATAAATTATATACTATATATCATTATATAATTATAATTTATATATATATAGATAATATATATGAGTCATGTTGGGCCATGCCGGCCCAGCCCATGGACCTAAAACCCTAAGTCTAGCACGGCCTGCACGATCATGCCGGGCCGTGTTGGGTCATGCTAGGCCACAGACAGCATGGCGGATTTACACCTCTAAATGGATTCATAGACAATAGTCGATGTGGGTACATGTGGTAGACAAACCCATAGTCTATGTGGCAAACGTGATGGTGCATGTGACAAAGCAAAAAGGTTGTATAACAATCGGAGTCTGGACTATCTATCCATTCTCCAAATGGCTTTAGTTTTTCTCTGGATGCTGATGATAACCTCTGTTTATGTTGTTATACCTTTTTTAGGGTATGGAGAATATAGTACATCACAGGTCTTTCTACTCTTGTGAGTTATGACAAACTCTATTGTTCAACTAGTGAGTGGGTAAATACTTTGCTCAGATTGTCGTGTACTCATGTTAACTATGTTAAGATCCGTTCGACCTAAATATCTTAAGGCTTGGTTTGAAGGAGTACAAGTATAAATATGTATAATATAAATATATACAAAATAATATAAAATATAAGGTTTTGTACTATATATATTTGTATTTGTATTTCATCCAAGTTGAGCCTAATTTGTTAGGTAAAGTCTCTAAATAGGTTTTTTACTCTCTAACACACCCCTCACACAAAAATCCATCAAACTTGAAGAGTGAATTTAAGTGCCGAAAAGAATAGGCTCACACATACCTTGCATTGAAATTTAATTAATTATAATAGGGGCAAAGAGGATCGAATACTAGACTACTTCATCAAATAGATTCTGATATCATCTCAAAGAATCATTCAACTTAAAACATTAAGATGTTAGGTGGTCCCTAAATAGATATTAAGCTGATCAATGACTGATTCATTTTTTTAGTTATTTTCATTATTAATTCTCATTTATCACACTTGTTTTTGTTTAGTCTAAAGAATACATATAAGTAGAGACAATCTCAATTTCATACCGAATTTTTCTATAAATTTCTTGTATTTTTCTATAATTTTGTCTATTTTTATATTTTTATTATTTAATTTAGGATATCACCAATTGACCTGTTCACCCAAACGGTTATTAATCCACCAACCAAAGAAACAATTCCATTTAACATTGGGACAAATTGAGTTTTTTTTTTCCTGTTAGGGATTGCATTATTTAAGATTTTTCATCTGCATCATACACATGCCCTGTCTCTTTTAAATTTTACTAAAAGCTCTGTTTTGCACTCTACATATTTATATTTGTACTCTTTTCAAATTGAGCCTTATGCTGCAATTGAAAATGATACAAATGAAGTGTAAATCCCAGTTCAGGGTAAATTTGCACTTTGGTTCACTATTGCCTTTTGGCAGTATTGTATTTATGCATTGACAAATGATAGAAAACACATTTTCCAATGCATATTTACATGGGCAATGAGATGTAAAAATACGTCAGTAAAAAAGAAGTAAATTTGCATTCAAGTGGGCTTTTGATAAAAAAAAAAGGCATGCTTTATTGGAATTCGTGCTTGCATCCATTACAGTTAAAA